TTGGTGGGGGGGGGGGTTGGGGGGAAATATAGTTAGCCCTGGTCTGAGAGAAGAAAAGTTCACTTGAAGAGTGAGTTCCAGTTTTGGCGGGGAGTGTGGCTGTGCATGATCAGAGTTCTCCCCTTCCCCTGAAGCGATTCCATGGAGAAGTCAGTGACAGTGCAGGGCAACCCCAAAAGAGCAGCAGCACCAGGCAGAGACAGTAACCTTTTAAAAATGAGGCTTCTGGCATGGCTATTTGTGGGGTGGAGCTCTTAATTAAGGGGCGGGGCCTGAAATGCCCCACTGTAGCTACAGGCCTGGACATTTATTTATTTATCCGATTTCTAGGCCGCCCTCCCCGCGAACGGGCTTAGGGCGGCTAACATCAGGGCACACACGCCAGTACATAAAAACAGGATAAAACCAAATAGTTACCAAATTTACAAAATAAAATGCTCCAAGATGGTCCAAGATAGTAGTCTTCCATTTAGTAGATGCTTTCTGTCAGTTACTATCAGCCATACTGGTTCAGATTTAGCCATGGTGGCTCCATGTTCAGAGGTGGTATACCTCTGCACACTAGATTCTGTGAGGCAGAAAAGCTGTTGCCTTCATGACTTGCCGTGGACTTCCCAGAGGCATTTTGGTTGCCCAATGTGGGAAACAGCCTTCTGGACCAGCCTCTTTTTTCTTTACTTTTTTTTTTGCCATCAAGTCACGGCCGATTTATGGCGACCCCATAGGGTTTTCAAGACAAGACACGTTCAGAGATAGTTTGCCATTGCCTGCCTGTGTAGCAATCCTAGTATTCCTTGGTGGTCTCTCATCCAATTCCTTGCCAGGATCCCTGCTGAGCTTCCGATATCTGATGAGATTGGGCTAGCCTGGGTTATTCAGGTCAGGGCAACTATGGATAGATGGATGGATGGATGGATGGATATAAACTGTATTACAATATCTAGTAGTTTAATAATTGTATTGCAAAATAAACATCAAACACAATGTAAGAAAACCAATTAGAAAATAATTGCCATGCAGATTACAAACACAACATCTGCAAACTAAAACAATACATCTCAGCACTAGCACTATGATGGTCACAGGAGGGTCTTTCTTCAGCAAAATAACCGTAATGCATTTTTCAGGTAAATCATTCAACAACATTTCCTTTTTTTTTTATTGTGACCTGAAATACATTGAGGATTAGCTAGATGGCACTCAAATCTATTTCCATGTCCAGGACGAAGGAAATGCTTAAAACCTCAAATCAAGCCATTTTGTCAGAAGACCCTCTTATTTTATTGCTCTTTACTTCCTAAGTGGTATATATACTATATCTAAACTGTTCTACATCATCTTGGATGGGAGTAGGGCCTTCCGTATTGCATTGCCAAAAAACTACTGGGAGTTTTGTGGCACCTTAAAGACTGATTTTAGGTTGCAGTCACATGCACCAAAAAAACAGGGGGGGGGCTATTTCTTCCAGAGGAATTTGACCCACAGTTGCACAATCACACCGCCCTTTGAAGCTGCGGGTGCAGTCCATCAGTGTGTGATCAGACGCAGTGTGTGTTGTTTCTTTCCCATGCGCTTAAACGGGATCGATGAATCGCACATCCCCACCAAGGGCTCCCTATGGAGTTTGCGATGATGCACATACTGGGAAGGGGGGGGGAAACAATGGCACGGAGTCGGGACGGCCTGATCAGACCATCCCGATGCCATGAGCATGCTGAAGCA